CCCCCCCCCCCACCCCCCTCAAATGGGCTTGAAATAAATAAGCCCCCTGGGGGGCTTAATAGATGGTCTCGAAAGGCGGGAATGTACTGTTTAGCGTCAGCGTGACGTGCGTGACGTCATCATGGGATACCGTGAATTCGAAACGCGGATTTTCGATCGATAGGGGTGAGTGGGGGAAGGTACTATTCCCTGTTACATTAGACTTGTTCCGTTCCTTTTTTTTGTTTTCAATAACGAAACGTTTGGTTTCTTAACGGCTAGATATTTATGATGTGTTTTTTAAAAGACTAGTTCTTAATAAATGGACTTTTTCTATAGTTCATAATAAGTTAAAACTCCTATCTCTCAGTGTACAAAGTAGACAACCCCCTCCGGGGCTTAACTTCCGTGTATAGAGTTAGCGTTTACGCCATAAGTATTCAGTCGATCCATTCAAAATGTCGTCAATCGGCTACCAAGGTTTACTCTACAGAGTTAGCCAAAGGCTGAAGGACGTAACTAAGATTAATCAACTTCTTCATACTTCTAGCAATGCAAGATTAATCTCTGAAAACAGTGAATCGTTCAACATTCAAGTCAATGAAGGGGACAACACTGCGATTACCGTAATGAAGCTCTTTTCAGATTTGTCAGAAAGCGACAATTTGGGACTTGACAACCTGGAGATACTGAGAGATCTCTTAACGGAAGTAAAAGAGTGGTCCCTTGTCGACGAAGTTGATAAATTCGCGAGGCAAAGAAAGGATTTTAACGCTCTTTTAGAGACGATCATTCCTAAACTCGAAGAGTTCGACAACCTGGAGCAACTGCTGTCTCTGTGCGAGGATCAGGTCTCAGACGATACTAAGGAGGAGATCAAAGACGTTCGTGCGTTACTTAAAGAACTACAGAAAAAGAACCGCCTGGGTTTTACGCAACTCGCTGTTCTGAGGAAGATTTTAAACGAGACAGGACAGCAGGAGCTGTTAGATTTGTTAACAGACTTTGAGAAGAAGTGGAAAGAGGAGGAGAAGGCAGAGAGAAGGAGAGGTATGATTCTTCTCCACTGTACAAACACTTCAACATTTTACTGTTATTATTCTTCAAGCTATCATTTATTAACACACACATTGAATGTGCTGCATGGTAAATCTAGCTCATCCTTCTGACAGTCTTCTGACTCAGTTGGATTTACATAATAAAAGCGGACCATGAGTAAACCATTTATGCCGCCTAATTTATACGAGTCCGATGTTATAAAATACGGAAATGAAGGGCAGCTATAGTAAACACATAATGTGTGTGACAGAATTCAGTTATAAAGGAGTAAAAAGTAAAGGAGCCTGAACGTGCCATGGATGCGTGACCCGACGCTAACCTATATGCTAATTACACACCAAGCTCACGCGAGCGTTAAAAAGTCAACGTACGCTTCATAGGATACCAGAATGTTGTTTAACGGGTTTAAATTTTCATGCATTACTTTTTTGTTTTGTTTTTTTTTCTACAATTTCTGAAATTAGGAAATCCTTGCCTTTCATTGGACTTTTGAGAAAACTCCCAGATGCAATGAAACGCTTCGTTGAGCATCTGACTGCTGTGTACTTCTATACCCATACCAAAGAGGCAAATTCGTCGGAAATTTTGGACCTTTGGATTGGACTGCGAGTAGAAGATTTTGTACCAAATTTGTGTGCCTAATTTTAGATCATACTCTTACCCGGTTCAGTTTCTTGTCCATGACGTCATGATGTTTACTGAGTAATTTATGCATGGCGATTACCCATGTCAAGAGACTGAGCCTATCTTGTTCCCGCTGTTACAATTCGGGAGATACGAAAAGCTCGAAATTGTTTTGAAGTCGTGCTACGTATTCGTAGTTGAATCTGTCGGTCCCCATTCATAGTTCAAGTATACTAAACACAAGAGTCAGAAGACAGAATGCGCGGGTCGAGTGGAGGAGAACAATTTCTGTCCGTCTTTTCCAAGGATTCTTAGTTCTCAGTCTTTCAAAAAGAGTTGAGCGAGCGACAGGCCTCGCGTAATTGTGCCGTTCTTACTAGGAGAAAAGAGGTTTCTGGAACCCCTTACATTCTCCCCTGGGTAAATCCTGGTAAGCAATGTCCGTACTACAGATTTGGATGAAAAAAAAAACCTGTCTACAATAGAAAGGTGTCTGTAACGAGAGGTACGAATATATTTAGGGTGCGTTCGATTGGGAAATCCGGATTTAGATTTTCAAAATCTAAATCCGGATTTCCCAATCGAAAGCGAAATCCGAAAACGGATTTCACCTCCGAGAAATCCGTCCTCAAGGTGGATTTCAATTACGAAATCCAAATCCGGTGAAATCCGTTTTCGGTTATCGCGTTCGATTGGGAAATCCGAATTTAGATTTTGAAAATCTAAATCCGGATTTCCCAATCGAACGCACCCTTAGATGGAAAATCTGTTTAAGCTGGCTCACATCTTATTGCTGTGATCCTTGAACGCTTTTATTTTTAGGGTCATTTAGAAAACATACATTAAAAAAATACTTCATGTATTCCTTAATTGACTTTATAATGTGCTTTGGTTCCTGATTTGTAGATTGGAGAAGGGATGTTGTGAACACGGTGATAGTAGGTAAGCGTTTCCAAACCATAGCCTACGAGCAAGCTCAACACAGTAATTGGGCTCGCATGAGCCACGGCGGAACTTTACCTGATTATTAGCATGAAGAACTGAGGACTCTATTGCTATCCCTTGAATGAGATGCGATAGGAGGTCAACAGTGTTGGGACCTTTTCAGTGACATTAGTAAAACTAGCTACCCCTCCCCTCCCACCCCAAACAAAGTTGAATTTTGAGCACCATGGGTGAAAATGACGGCTTTTTTTGGCCACAACATTGCTAGGGGGAGTGGGGGGGGGGGGGGGGGAACGAAAAGGAACCCCCAAACCGCCAAAAAAAAGTTGTTTTAGTTGGAAGCGCCATTTAAAAAATTATTTGGAAGGCTTTTTCCCAAAACTCCATGTTTTTTTCCCCCCTTTTGGGGTACCCCACCAGCTTTTTTGCTTTGCTTGAGGCAAAAAGTGTGGGGACTTTTTCAGGGAAATAGGTAAAACCAGCACCCCCCCCCCCCCCCCCCCAAAAAAAGTTGAATTTGGGGCACAAGGGGGGAAAAGGGGGGTTTTTTTGGGCCCAAAAATGGTTGGGGGGGGGGGGGGGGGGGGGGGAACGACAGGATGAACCCAAAGCCGATCAAAAAATTGTCATTAGTTGCAGAGTCCTACGTAATAATTACTTGGAAGAGCTTTTTCACACAGTCAAGTTGTTTTGTCCTCCATTGTGGGTTACTCTCAGCAGTATGTCGTCTGTACTCATTTATACACCTTAACCTGTTTGTTCAAAGAATGGATAGCGTTAGCCAAAGGATAAATCACTATCCTGCGGATAAGTATTGGTGAAACCAATTGAGAGTTATCAACTGGATAGTGATTTATCCACTGGATAGCGCTATCCACCTTTGAAACAACTGAGCCCTGGTCCTAGTCTCTATCCATTCAGTGGATAACGTAATTGAGTTTCCAAATCATTTATCCCGCGGATAGCGATTTATGTAGTGCAGAATATTGCCATTCAACCTTTGAAGACCTACATATCCGAAGAATTTTTTATCCGGAGTCCAAGTTATTAACTGCTCAGTCACCACGCCTGTATCCAACCATAGTGAGGTCACATTTTTTGCTTCGGCCTCTTGAAATGGATATTTTCCCGCCGATCACGACACGACTCCTAAAAGTGTTAGCACTTTCGTTTCATACGTTATTGTGCCTTTCACGGCGTCTGAAAAGAATCCTGTAAGCCAGCAACGTAGTTGTGACAATGAATTGTGTCGTAACACAAAGAATCAGCGCTATTTAGACCCTGCTCGCTCATCACATGTGTGAAGTTTGTCCATAGAGGAATCTTTTTTATGCTTCTTTGTCATGTTAGTTGACCAAGTCGTTTCTTTCTCTTTTAAAATTGCAGCTCCTACTACATCCGTGTGCTCAACAGTTAAAAACACTTGGGAGCAATTTATTGGAGGTAAGTAAGAATTAGGCCCCGTACGTCCACACATCCGGGTATTTTTTAAAAAATACCCGTCCACATGTGGCGTATTCCAATCGTTTTCGGCCGTCCTCCGATGCAAAGGCTAAAACTATGGAAATACGGTATAGCATCGCTAACAGAGAAAGCGTAATGCTAGTGGTATATATGATGTTATGATGTATGACATCATCGTATTAAAAAATCTCCGTTCTCGTCCGTGCACACGTAGGCGAGAAGCAAGCGTTTTAAAAATCTCCACTTTGGGTTGCGTTTTTGTCTTGAAAAGATGCGTTCAGGTAACAGTTTTCATTAGATACGTGTGGAAAAAAATCGAGATCGTTTGTTT